CTCACCCCATTACTGTCCATACTAGAACTGAAGTACAATTTAAAATAATCCCATCATTGGGCATATTGAATAAAGTTTGGGTTATCCCATTAATTTTTAATTGAGTGAATTTTCACTTTTTACTGCGACTTTTAAAAATTATCCAGTAATAACCAAATTAAGCTGCTAACTTCTTTTTATGACCCTTAATTTCCCGCCTCCCAACCCCATATTGTTAGCGACCCCTGGGGAAGGAAATGCTCTCTAGTTTTTGGAATAGACTTTCTAAAGCAACTAACCTAGGGCTTTCCACATGGTCTGCAGAACTTCGTGTTCGTTTATGAGGAGACAGTGTCTGTGCTTTTGTTACTGTTGTGAATTTACATAAAATATGTAAATATGTATCCATCAAGGAATTGTTCTTCTTATTCACTTCAAAAAGTAGTTTTAAGCTTCCTCCTTTGTTTCCTCCTCCCCCCCGCCACCATGAAAAGCATGTACAGGAGGTATGTTGCCTGCAATTCTGAAATTCTGATAACAATGTAGGAACTCTATCCAAGATTGCTTTTTTTTTTTTTTTTTGAAACGGAGTCTTGCTCTGTCACCCAGGCTGGAGTGCAATGGCATGATCTCGGCTCACTGCAACCTCCAGCTCCCAGGTTCAAGGGATTCTCCTGCCTCAGCCTCCCTAGTAGTTTGGACTACAGGCACCTGCCAACATGCCTAATTTTTTGTATTTTTAGTAGAGATGGGGTTTCACCATGTTGGCCAGGCTGGTCTTGAACTCCTGACCTTGTGATCTACCCTCCTTGGCCTCCCAGAGTGCTGGGATTACAGGCGTAAACCACTGCGCTTGGCCCAAGATTGCTAATTTTAAAGCGAGCTTAAAACTGTACAAAGGGAGCATGGCAAAATTACATTTAGCCCCAACTTTATTTTCATCCTGCAAACCAGAACCCAGTACAACTCTGTCCCCTCAAAAATGGGAATTAAATAGTTACAAACAGGCCTCGCAGGTTGGAAGCAACCACAGCTTTCACCGCTATTTCTGGGTTCCATCCAGCGCAAGTGCACAAAAGAAAAAAACCTAACATTTTTGAAAAGCTAATACTTATTGGGCTCTTTCTATTTGCTGGGCTCTTTCTATTTGCCAGGCACTTCGTACACAATGTCTCATCCAATTGAGAACCCTTCCAAACATAACTCAAGTCAGATCCTACTTATTGTTTATTTTCACACAAATAATGGAAATGGCTGAGAGCATGGCCTAACATGAGCACAGAAGTGTACTTGGACCCAATATAAGAGGAAGCACTTGGGCCTCACATACAGTGTTAGTTGACTCTGCCAGCCAGCTACTACCCAGGGGACATCAGCCTATAGTGGATTAGTAACATGTAAATATCCAAAAAGTATTTAATTCTGTAAACCTAACTTTATCTTACACTTACTGTCTTCATGACTTTTCTGATGTCGCTTCATTTTCAAAAACAGCCACAAGGGACCACTTGCTTTGTTTTACTTACCCTAACACATTTTGTTCCCACCAAGATGTGGATTGGATTTTTCTTAATAACATTTTATGTTTGTTAAAACTGCTATTAACATTATTAACATTTAAAGTTTTAAACTGCTTTAAAAAGTTGCTTTGCATATTTTGAACCACAAATAACTCTAGTCTGGAGGTGGCTTAGACCAGAAAATACTATTTGTGGGTTTAAGCTCTGTATCTTTTTAAATCCATCATATGTACAGCATAAACTTGAGTACCTAATAAAATAAATGTCACAATGTTTAAATAGCATTTCTCTTTAGTTCAAATGCTTTGTCATCTGTGCAGGAATAAATTGTGTGCTGAATTCTTTTTAGCCCTGAGAATATAATTATTGAACAAAATTTCCGATGAGACAAGTTAGGCCTTTAAATGATAAATATCCTCAAATATTAACAGTAAGTCAAGCATTAGAGCAAAACCTTTGATTATTGTAAAGGTATTTCCTGTGGTAAGTTCACTACTGATAAGAGCTTTTTATCCAAAACTGTACTATGTGCCAAATACAACTTAGTATTTATTACATTATTATATTTTTAAAAAACAAAAAGAATAGGCTGGGCACGGTGGCTCATGCCTGTAACTTGGGAGGCTGAGGCAGGAGAATCGCTTGAACCCAAAGGTGAAGGTTGGCAGTAAGCCGAGTTCGTGCCACTGTACTCCAGCCTGGGCAACAGAGTGAGACTCTGTCTCAATTTTAAAAAAATGAATAAAGCTCTAATGGCACTAACTTAACACTCTTGTAATGAATTTGATGCTCAAAACGTGGTACTGATAGCTCTTAAAGAGATTATTCTGTAATGTAAATTAACCAAATTCCCTTTATTAAACTCAGCATCCAATAAATGGCCCATAATAAGCACTTAATAAATGCTAATAAGTTCAAAGACTGAATATTGATAACTGCCTTATACACTTAGAAACAACTTTTGTACTTTATTATTTGCTTGTTTAGTGAAATTATTGCTTCATTTCTGAGATTTTCATAGGATTCTAATGAAGAATCTAAGAATCCAACTCACATTTGTTTTGACAAGTGATTGGTAAAAGTGATTTCATTCTCCCTTTGTAAAGATGAAGTTAATGTTTCTATACCTATTATTTTAGGTAGCTACTGAATTTACAGGAAACAAAGTATAAAAATTTTTCTGTCATTTTATTCTGCCTCCATTAATAGTGTTTTTAATGCCATTAAATGAGTTCCAAATCATCTTACAGATATTTTCTTAGGAACTACTGATATCAAATATCAAGCATTTTATGAGATCTATCAAACACATGAAAAATATTAAAATAATTACAGTAGCCCTGTTTGGCAATGACGTAGAGCAATTAGCAATCTTAAACACTACTGTTTGGGTGAAAAATTAGAACATTTATTATGTTTTAAACCCCCTGAAATGTTCAAAACTGTTAGAGGTGACACGTGATCCTCCTTCTTCCTTTTTGTTCAGGAATTCAGACCTCTGTACTGCCCTCCCCCCATCCTACCCCAAGCACACATGAATCAGTCCAAGTCCAGAAGTGAGTTCAGATTATATCAACTCTGTTAGCACCTTCCCCTTTACCAGTGATTAAATCAGAAATGCGTCTATGATCCAATTATGACTAGAAGTTCCAAGAGACGTTTGCTGGAGGCTTTAGGAAAATTCTTTCTTATTAGCACATATATTCAGCGTTCACCACAGTCTTAAAATATTTAAAAATAGGAAATACTAAAATGTGAAATACATTGATTTACTCAAACAAGAGTGTGCAGCTGTTAGAAATGATGATGTGGTTCTTTGCTGATGTGGTAGAATGTCCCAATAAATTGTTTTGTGAAAAAAAGCAAGTTAAAAAGTGTTATAACTACAAGAAAAAAAAAAAAAAACCCACAGTATTCTAAACAGCATTCTAAATGTACATTTTATTATTTCTATAAATATATATCTCTTCTCATAGAATCAAAAGAGGTAAACAATCAAGTTTCAGGAAAGCAGGAGCCAGTATTGCTTTGAGAATCTCAGATAGCAATGTGAAAGTTGCGAAAGCCATAAAAAGGCTCAGCCCTTAGAATCTACCACTTAATGAAAGTTGGTTCCATTTCCTTTTATTGTTGGCAGTCTCCGCACATGGCAGAGCAGTGGTGGCTGATGGTCCAATTTTGTCACCAAAAGGAACCAGGGAGAAGGCATCTATTCCTACCTCCTGTTAGAAAATTGCCAGGAAATGACTTTCTTTGGCACACCTTGAATGATATGCAATCTTTTTAACCAAATTACCTAGGCCAGGAGGAGTCAAGTGTTGTTTGCCATTGGCTCAGCTTGAGTCAGGTATATGCCTCTCGACCAACTGTGGGGACCAAGTAGGCAAGGCCACACACACTGACACCTCCCTTTCTAACTACATTCTAGAAGAGTAAAGGCAGAAGCAGAATCCAGGCAGGAAGGGTAGGCAGTTCTGTCCCAGAAGAAAGTAAGTATGCTGGGCAGACCAGGAAAAAAAAAAAAAAAATCCCACATATACTTACGTGAGAATCAGAGTCAGCTGGGAGAACATTTTAAAATTAGTGAATCCTGCTCTCTTTTTCCCACATGCCGTAAGCTGAGATGAGAATATGTATTTTTAAGAAAGCTTCCTACGAGTTTATTGTGTCTATTCTAACTCTAGAGAATACCCCCTTTCCTATAATGTTACATGTATCACAAAAATAAATGTGTGTGTAACAAGGCACCATAGGCCTACGAGTCATAATAGGGAAATAAGTGAGCATAGATTCATCAAATCAAAGTTTAAGTGCATAGAAAATAAACCAATGTGGAATTTCCCAAACTTCCAGTTGGACTGGGTGCTTTTGTGTTAAACATTTTTTGTTTTGCCCTCTAAACTTGATTTATCTGCAAATCTACAAACATTATGTAAATAGATATCTGTGCGGGCAAAACACTTTTTGCTCACATGATCTTGAGAAGGAACTTAGATTCTGGCGTCTTAAAACGCGGCACCTTTTTTATGTCCTTGGGGCTTTCGAGTCACCATATAAATGAGGTCTCTGAAGTTAGTATGCCAGGGAGATCAGGCACCTCTGATTTTAAAATAAAACACTGCAAAGAAAGCTTCCGGGAGGAATGAGAGCATGCTCCAAATCACGACTCTGTAATTAGTCTTTGTGAAGAGTGGACAGAAATTTCGTCCGAAAGCCACCGTCTTTGCTCTGGTTCCTTTCTCTGTAAGCATGTCACACGAACCACACTTGTGCACCATGCATCGCAATTTAAAGCTTTCCTTGGAAAGTTTCCCCAGCTTGATTGCTTATGGAAACAGCAGCTCCGGTTCCCAATTCGTTTAATACATCCTGTCCGAGCGCGTCTTATTACCGAATGTTACCCACGTTCTGATAACAAGGGGACGCCGTGTCCTCCCCCGGTGAACTCACTCCCAGTCCCAGAAATATAGCGTGACTGCCTCCCCGGCGGTGTTTTGAAAGTGGAAGCCGGGCGCCGCCCTCCAGCACCTGCACCTCCCGCCCGGCAACGGCCGCCTGAAGCACGAAGTGCGTGCGACCGCAGCTCAGCAGGTCACGCAACCCCAGGCCGCCGCGCCGCCTGCGTGCCTGCAGCCCGCCGGCCCCGCCCCCGCCGCCTGCTTCCGCCGCTTTTGTGCACGCTCCGGCTTCCTAGTGCGCCCAGAGCCTGCCTCGCGTGCCGACCCCGCCGCGTAATCCGGCGAGGAATCCATATTCCCTCCGGCCCCCGACGCCCTCCGTCGACTTTAGTTCGAGCAGGTGACGCCCTCATTTTGACGCCGAAAAGTGTCCGTTCCTGATACACAGCAAACACCTCAGGCTACGAAACGTGGGAGAAGCGGACAGCGGGCGGGGAGTCGGCCTCCTTGGCGCCTGCTCCCTGCCC